TGAATCCTCCTGAACAAAAGAAGTCAATGCAGTCACTACAGTACTGCTGATTTAGTATTACTCATTGCACTCAGTACTAGTTTAGAAGTGAAACTGTAAAAGGAAGATCTGATTATTTCATCCATTATTTTATATCACAACTGCATTAAAAATATGATAGCTTCACAAAGTAACAACGATATTTTTGCTCAAACATTTTGTTCCATTCACCTTCAAACAGCTGCCTCCTGAGAAGGAGTACTTCTCATGATGTTTCATTCAGGCAACCAGAACTTCAATTTTTTTGTTGCACTGTTTGCATTTTGTAAGCATGCCTGTCTTGCCCACAGGTAGAGGAACTTCATTAAAAATATTCCCAAACAGGGTCTTACAGCCTGGCAAGCCTCCTGCCATGACAGGTTTTCCTTTCTACCATACCATTCCCTTACTAGATCTGAAATCAATGGAGGGGCTATACTCAGACACTTATACTTCAAGACTTCTGAAATGTTCTGCCCAAAATGTGTCTCTCTTGTTTCTACTGCCCCTCCCTCCTCACATTTCTCTCAACTCCTCCTCCTTGCCCAGATCTACTCCACCCTCAATAACCCTCTGTTCATTTAACTTCTTGACGCTTTGCCCTTTTATAGAGAGGTAAGGGCTTGACTGTGTACACAAACTTGCAGAGAGACAACAGGGCTGATGGATAAGTAATCAAGTCTGTTATCTCTCATCTCCATATGCTGTTAACAAGGATGTTACCTCTGGAGAGACAAATACACAGTTTGAGAACTGAAATGAAGCATCACAAAGATACTTAATGGGATCTTCTAGACTGAGCACTGAGTCTGATTGGGTAGAGTGGTTCTCTTTAATCTGTACTCATCTATAGAGGAGCCTCTGGGAACTCCATAAGATTAAGCCCCTAATATAGTCCATGGCCTGTTGTGACCTATTTATAAAACTATTCGAAAAAGGTTACACGATTATATGGCCTCAAATAGTATATAATTAGAAGTTAAAATCCCTATTCCATGATGATACCTTTGAGCTTTAATATATATTAAATTAAAACTATCTTTATATAGGGTTTGTTTGTTTTTTAAAAAAGCATCTTAACAAAAAATAATAATATATGATTAAATAAAAAAATCCAAATTTTTTTTTTTTAAATCGTTGACTTTTATCTACCCTGATCACCCCAAAAAACCCTTGCTTCTTGGGGATTATTATTTATATTTATATGTAGAAAGTGGGCTCTGAGAAGAAGGCAGCAGCAGGAACAGAATCCAAAGGAGTACAGCCTGAGTGAAGATGCAAACACCAAGAGCAAGTTGAAATCTGGGTGCAGCACCAGAATTGAACATGCCATTTAGAAGCCAACAACCTAAGATCAAATCAGTGAGGGGAGAAGGAAAAAGGATTCAATGTGGTGACTTTCTTCCTTTAAAAGAGTGAAAAAAAACAAACAGGGTTTATGGTTCCTTAAAGCATAGGCTTCAAAAATCTTCCTGCTGGGGGAGGCTACACAAATAAAATAGGAAGTCCTGAAGGGCAATACTTTTCCAAGATTTTACAGGCTTACAGGTGATTAAACTAGGGGTGCCTTGAGATCCTATTTTTGGGTGCCAAGGGGTGCTCTGCAATGTTAGCATATTCAATCTATAAACACGAATACAATTCACAAGATAAACAGATTTCAAATATGAATCCATAGTACTGCATCAGAAACATTGCGACTTGTGCTCTGAGTTCTCTGTCCTAAATTTAATTTTGAAATCAAGATTTTGGGCATCAGGTACTGCAAGAACACACTTAACCCAGTGCAACAGCCTATGGCAAGGCAACTATGATTTCAAACAGTTTGCTATTAAGCTATTTTGAAAAAGTTTAGTTCAACAAAGAAAATTTCTTTTACACAAAATTTTGACTCTCAAAGTTTTCCTGGAAGTTTAGATCCTGGTATAGGATCAGATCTCATATAAAATTTCATTATTACTTTTGCTTTCAAGGTAAACAGAAGAATGCTTCAACTCTAACAAGCATTAGTTCTCTGCTCTAAATTAAACAGGATTAAACTATATTAGTTTTAAGACCTTTTTAAAAGAGGTTGCATTGGAACAAAATATTACTTGGGCTAAATGAACTGTAGAAAATTTGCTTTCCCAAAGAGACAGATTAAAAAGACTCCCATAAATAATCTATTGTCTAATTTTTTTCTAATGCCATATATTCAAAACTTTTCAAAATAATTCTTCACCACTTAAATAGTGAACAAAAGCTACTACCAGAAAAAATACAACCTAAAAGCAGCATTAAAGTTTCATACCTGTTCAACTGATGTCAAAACTCCCCTCTCTCCTCTCCCAGCATTTTCAAGTCTAACTTCACCTCATGCACTAATTTTCTCTGTTTAAGCCACTCTTCAAAACATTCAGATAAATTTGGAGTGACCACAAAAGAAAGATTATCTTCTACAACCTTTTACATGCAGCTAGTGCAGAATACAGCAATTTTTCTGTTAGGGAGTATGCCTTACAATAAGCATCAGCTTCCATCCCAGAGGTTATGCAGACTCCGCCTGCCTATTAATCTCTATAATTTGGAGTTGCTGCTTTTAACTGATAAAGCCAGTTCATTTGAGGCACTTCAGTTTGCACCCCTAAGATTCTGATTGGGAGGATGTTGGAGAAAGAGCATTTTAGACATAATACAAGAAAGCTTGTATTATGAAACAAGCTTTCTACTTCCCTTTTGCCAAAATTTAATTTTTTTGGCCATCAGGCTCTGCTACAGGGGCCCATTAACACAAGGAAAGAATACTGAGAATAGTGCTGTGAGAGATAAGACTTTTGAATGCTAGTAACTGAAAAATGCCATACTGGATAAGACCTGTGAGCTGTCCACAGTTCCAAGCTCTTTAGAAGGAGAAAAGAAATACTCAGCAATTCACACAAGTACAGCATAACCAGCCCATGTGGAAAGATTTCTCCCAAGCCCTACCAATTGGTAGCTGGTATATGCCCTTTTATAAAAAGGGGAAAGAAACAAAACCAAGGATGGACCCAAGGGAGAAAAAGTGGACCTCCCACAATGTCCTAATTAATATCAATAGTCTCCTAAAATAATCCAAATAAAATATGAAATTAACCTAACATTAAGAGTTTTATTAAAAATAATTCCTGCACTGAAGATTTCTAAGACAATGAATGCTGCCAAAGAAGTTCAAAGCTGTATTTCTATCAACTGTAACAGAAATTATTAAGGCATACATCTGAGATCCTCCTTTCCAATCTATTGATATAAGCTTATTTATAACAGCCTAACACAATTATCCTAATGATTTAACTCCGGTAATGCCCAAAGGTCTTTGTCATGATTAGGACCTTGAAATGCAGAAACATGACCACTGCCCCAAAGGTTTTATAATCCAAAAGACTAATCTAAAAAGAGAAACAACTTTTCTTTGATGCTTTCATTGCCACCTCTAAAGAGACTTCAAAATATAAGTCCTCATCTTTCTGGATACTGTTTTCCAAATTTCCTAGCAGTTCCTCTTTCTGCCATTCTACATACATTCACAAGCATCTGCAGTAATGGTAACACACTTCTATATCATGAGGTTGGCAAAAAACATATTTTCATCCATAACATCAATTTGAAAAGTTAGTCTGAATAATATTAAAATGTAAACTATTAAACACCGCCCTATCCCAACTGCACTTCCTCATCACCACTTACACATAGCACAATACATATTCCCATGGAAAGTATATTTTATTCATGTATCAAACAAAAACAGTAGAAGTTTAGTGGTCGTTTAAGTGAGGTGTGTGCGTGTATGTAAAAATAAAATAAAGCCTAAGGACTGCATATTGAAAATTGTGCGTAGAGCAGTGATGAGGAAGAATCTGAAATATATATCTCTTTTTGCTTAAACTAGAAAATAGATGCCTAACATTGCACCATTCTGTTGCTTACATAAAAGGTAAATCTAGTTAATTAACTCCTATCCAGAAAGTGAAGGTTTAGGAAAAAAAAATTCTGAATAAAATGAAGACAAAAGTCTTTTTTCAAATGGTCACAATTGAAGGTAAAACTGAAAGGGTTAATGTTGTACTCTGGAATGAAAGTGCTCTGACTACTGTTGGTCATGTCACAGTAGCTAGGTATTTGGAACAGGCTTTCTTCCTTCTCTTATGAATTTTTTTCAACTGCTAAGACTAACTTCCAGGAAATTTGAATGTTTAAGTGCCATCATACGGGTATGTTTATAGTGCCATGGATATTGCTTTATTGCCCCTTTATCTAAGATATATGATCTGAAAAATATTCTTCAAAGTAGTTAACTTAAAAAACTATTTGAATTTGATTCTTATCCATGCAAGGTACGGACAGCAGTGGCTAGAGAGCAAGAAATAATTCAACTAGGCATTACATATTGCTCTGGACACCTTAAAGAACCTTAATCTTGACTTGCAATAACCCTATTGTAACTGCCTATGGCTTTTCTATGGAAAAAATACCGGCTATGCCAAATTGTACCAAACTATTTCAAATTCTGTCTTCATAAATTCTCTATCCTTAACGCTGATCCTCTCCCCTTCACTTTAAATCCACTCACTGCTGGAAACTGTTCCCGCCGCTGCTGCTGCTAGCTTCTGGTTGTAAAATGCTGTGATGAATTGGTCCTGGGGAGTCAGCATTTCCTGACAGCAAATTGGACAAGATGGGAGGGAAAAAATGAGAATGGTGGGGAGAATGAACAAGAGCAAAAGGATGGACCTTTTGTATGAATGAACAAGAGCAAAAGGGGCAGGGGACTACCAAATTTTATTAACTAACAGTTTCATCAACTTTATGTCTGAACACACTTTGCTGCATAGAGTTAGCATACAGTTTTCCTAATGCTACTCTAGGCATAGTTAATTTCCTGGGAAAGCCAAAAAACTTAATTTAAGTTATTTGAGTCTTCAGAGGTTAACAGTATCTACTTTCTGGAAAGATGTTTTTTGACTTACTAGAAGGAGGACGTCTCTTCTGTTTTGGACTTCCTGCATCTTCTACATCCTTTTCAGTGCTTTCTTCTGCTGTGGCTGTTGCTGCTGCTGCCTTTCTCTTCCTCTACAGAAAAGTAAATAAAATTATACTGGTTGAAACAAAAGAAAAAATTCCATGTAGATAAAGTTTAAATTATTTGCATGTAATTCTCTGCAATTCCAAGTCAGCCTACCACATTTTCCCCCACAATCGCCATAAAAAAATTGACCTTAAATGGTCACCATTTCCAAATTACAGCAATTAATATTTGTCAATCCTGAAATCAAAGCACTTATTATAATAAACTATTACCATTTAATAATAAGCATCACCCCTCTCTACAGTTATTAGATCACATTAAAATTATTTTACTTTAAATCAAAAATCCATGTTTCATGGTCACAATTCTTCAAACACCATAACGTTAGAATTTAATAATTATCACAATCAAGGATCAATCTGAAAATCCTAAAATAATGTAAAAAATGTATCCCAAACTAATGTTATAATGTTATAGAGTTATATAAAACAAATGCATACACACACACACACACACACACACACACACACACACAACTAATATATACAGTATTAAAGTTTAACTTTATTTGAATCTGTATTTCTCCTTAAGGGTTTTTCAGTACAGCTAAAAAAGTAACTACACCCACTGACAGCACATTATTATTTTTCCTAATGGCAACTATGGGTTCTGTTCCAAAGAGAGCGACATGGGAAAGCTGAACTCTATTCAAGGCACATTATCTTAAAACCTTTAAAAGGATAGAACTGTTATTATCTGTGTATTACAATTAATCCTACTGTTGCAAAGTATTCTTAAGGTGGTTATGGAAAGATCCTCTTTTTTAAAAAGCCATGTCATTTTGCAAAGGATCGATTGGCCCATGTATAGAACAATAACTTTGCTAAACCCTGGCGAAGTTTAACCCATCATTTTTTAGTAACTGAGTAAGAATGCACTGCTTTACTAAAATAGCTTTAGAAGTGGTTACAACTTCCCATAGCTCATGAGAGAAGGGGAGAGTGCATTACATCTTTCCTTTCCAAAGTGTTGCTTCATGATTACCATCTAAACCCTGCTGGGCTGAACAGATTGGTTCGATAATTACATACAATAACTGCAGTGGGCAGGTAACCCTCAGCTGGCACAGGGCAGCTCCCCTGTGAGAACTTCCATATGCAAACTGCACTGATGGAGTGCATTAGGTACATCTTTCCTGCCGGTGCACAGGCCTGATTAACGCCAGCCAAGACTCCAAGGTTAGCATGTCAGCAGATTTGTGATGCATTAGGCAGGAATAAACACAGACACTTTTGTTCGTTCTGACCAAAATTAAGGAGGAATATTTCAGCACTGTATTGCCTTTATACAGGAGATAATGCATTCCTCCCGATTGTGCTGGGAGAGATTTTAAATGCTCATCGTAGAAATAGATATCCAATGCATTCTACACAAAAGCAAAGTACATTTATCTTGTTTCCCAAGCTTATTTAATAAAAAGTGTTTTCTTAATCTTGATGCAGGTGAATTACATGGCAATAAAAATCAGGCAGCATTCATCTGACAAAGGCAACACCTGTGTATTTGAAGCAGAAGGTTAGAAGGAACTATGAATCACTGTAATCTATATTTCTCCTGTTTATTTTACTTCCAATGTTTTCCAACACTTACTGAGTACTGTCAATGTATTCAGCACTGAACAAAGTATGATACGCACCTTGTCTCAAAGAGTTTGGTTCAACATTAAGGATGTTAGCATAGGTAGCTTGCTAAGCTAAGGCTAAAAGAATTTATTGCATATTAATATTAAAAATAAGACAGATATCTTTAAGAAAAAGAATGAAATTCCAGGAAGTCTGTTAACTATATATCCCATTTTATTTTTAAATCTCTAGAAACAAACGTTAATAGTTAAACTTATACATGCTTGGAATATTGAAAGGTATGCTTGATGGCCAGTTTCACACTCCAACCCAGCAAGCACACTTATGTTATTTATAATGCACATCACAACATATTTGGTGGTATGAATCTATCAAGGAGAATGCAGTGCTCTAAGAAATTTTTTTTTTTTTTAATTTACAAATATCCCTCTAAACCAGGGGTGGGCAAAATGTGGCCTGTGGGCCAGATGCGGCTGGCCAGGCCATTCTATCCAGCCCATGGGGCCCCTACAAAATTTAGAAAATTAATATTCATCTGCCCCTGGCTGCCTGTCATGTGGTCCTTGATGGCTTGTCAAAACTTAGTGAGCGGCCTCCACCTGAAATAACTGCCCGCCCCTGCAACCATGAAATAGCAAAGTTGGCCTGCCATATACCACAGCAACACTGAAGAAAAGTGTTTTCAGAGGAGAGGGAGGTTTGTTGTGTAGTAATAAAACACCCCAAAGGAATCCAAGCGTGGGTTTCTTACAAGACATGTTAGGCTTTAAAGATTGGTGCAGAATGAGTACTAGGACACCCTTACATCCTACAGCCATTTGTCTCTCTCAGTTCTCTGCCTCAAAATAATTCATCCTTGAGGCAAAAGTCATGAATCCATTAAAAGATGATAGTGCTATTACAACTAATAACTGTTGTACTCTACAGCCGTGTCCAAACATGCACGGGTATGCATTTGCAGCAGTTCAGACTGCCACAGCACATGCCCTTGCATGTGTGCTTCGTTGCAGGACAAATTGTCCTGCAATGGGCAAACTGCCCTTGCCCAGTTTCTCCTGGCTCTTCAGCCAGGGTCTGAGGCCAGCACCAGTGCAGTCTTACCTGGTGGCCTGGAGCAGCAGAGGCACAGATGGGGCAGCACATAGGCCTGGTCAGCAGCCAGAGCATTGCTTTGGACAACCTGACCTCTGTCTGCCAGCACATGCTTGCTGTGCATGCATTGTACTGCTTCTGTTTTGGGAGGAGGGGAGGGGAGGTTTGCTACCAGGAAATCTCAGTAGCAAATTTTGGCCCTACGCTGCAAATCTGCAGCACAGGGTGTTTTAACATTTGCCGCATACAGTTTGCAGCACCACAAAGAGGTTTGAGGAGCCACAAACCACACTTCCCCTGCATGTCTGGACGCAGCCTATGAAGCATGAATTTGCATACAAGATTATCTGCTCAAGTATTATGGATCTCTCTCCCAATTCCAATTCTCACAGCACTCACAAAAAAAATCCATTCAAAACAATGAGATGGCTCTCAAATAGTTACAAATAAAATAGCTACTTTAGGCATTAGGCTTTCTACAAAAGGCTAATCTTGAGTATGTAAAACATTGCCAATATAAGGTGTAGGTGCATCAGTTATAAAAGCAGTTACTCTAATATTATAAAAGCCTATGTCTGTCTGTCTATCACACTTTAATCGCAATCTGACTGGCTGACGGAAACAGCCAATCAGAGTGCTCCCAGTGTGGGGGAGCGCCGCCTTGATTCCAAAGCCGCGCCGAGTACCAGACAGAGGGTGGGGGAGCCAAGGCTAGCTGTGCTGGCCTCAGCTCCCTCACCCAGCTCCCTGCAAGCAGCGCCGAGGACCGGAATACTAGCCATTCCTGACGGGCAATTGGCTAGTATTTTAAGACTCTCTCATTAGTAAGATGGCTCTTAGTAACAAGGGATCAGTACCATTATCAGAGACTGATTCAAATTAAAACTCCAAATTCTTGTTTTGAATGAAGGAATATATGCGGTCCAAAATCTGAACCTCTTTCAGGGTTAATCCCTGGGACCTTTGTTCACCACTATTTTTAGATCCATAGGAAAGCACCTCCTAGATCGAAGTCGAAATCTTGCCCATCACAGACAATCATGTCACATAGTCCCTTTCATAAACCAAGTTCCACACGGAGGGGCAGGAATGGCTATGAAAACATCTTACATTACTTCTTCTTTCCTAACCTGCAAACTCTGCACACCACACTACTCCAGCTAGTCACAGATCCATCTTTTCCTCCTAAGATTTTACAAGTCTAGCTACCTACTCCTCACTCATCCTTGATGCTTTCTGGAAGCAAAGCTCAGTAACTTTCAGCATCCTATTGCTCTAGATAGCTATTACCATTCAAAAACAAGGGGGCTGCTCAATGAAGATCAGCCCCCTCCCTGTCACCAAGGTTTTTTCTGGAGTGAAGCAAGATGAGACCCTTGCAAAAGGAACAATCCTTTCCCTTCCATACTTATCCTGAAGTCTTAACTGAACCACTGGCCCTGAAAAGAACTGAACATAAATGAAAGGACTTTCTAGCCAAGTATGTTGCTACAGAAAGCAAGCCATAACAGCTTGATATCCAGTTAACTATTTTACTCTTGGGAGCTGTTCTTATTAAAGCGTCCACAGCATCTCATACATTCAGCATCCAACACTTCAAAATGGTGGAGGGGGCGCTTTAACTAAAGCTTGCTTTACAAGTTTTAGTTAAAGTGCCATCGCCACCATTTTGAAGCACAGGGACACTGAATACACGTGATGCTGAGGCTGCTGAAGCGTGCTATTTAGAGTCTGGTCTGATGCATTCTAATTAGCATACATCGGAGCAGGTGTTGGGCACACGTCTAGGTGCCCTTTAAGCCTGGGAGTGTCAAATTTACAGCCTGCAGGTCTCCCACAGGAGCCAGGGTGAGCAAGGGCAGGGCCCAACACCAAACTCTCAAACTCATGGCCATACAGATTTGGCCCAGAGACTATTTTCTGTTCAAAATCATAACTGGGTAAAACTAGAAATACTTCCCAAGAGACTTTCAAGCTCCCACAGCTTTTGTTTTTTGTCTCATACTTTCTACCCGTGAAACATTTAATGCATGGCAAATTGACTGTCAATTATTACTAGCCAGGGAGAGAACTTGTATAACATCAGATACTTGCCATTACCTTTCAATCAATACTTATAGATGTAATTCGCAGCTCTGGTTGAGGTTAAAACAGGCTAAAGAAGGCCCACCCACAAGCTTAGTCAATTTCATTACCAAAGGGGTGGAGTAAGCATTTCTTTCACCATGAAATAACCAAAGCAGAAAGATGCTGGTTTCTGACTTCACTATTATTCATACAGAAGGTAAGTGTAACAAAATATTTCATTACAACAGAAGTGGTGAAAAACTCACTTTTACTATACGTTTCTCTTTAAAGACTTTCCCTATTAAAACTGCTTGTATGACATAAGTAGATATAAAACAAAAAATACGAAGTTTCAATACTTAACATTTACAAGACAAATCGCACAATTCCCTTATTAACATTTGTTCTAAACAGAGTATTAAGAGTAAAGTTTATTTGGTAACTTGGCTTCAAGTTCAGTCATGTCTGACCCTCTGTATTCTTTATATCATAATGTTCCACCCACCCCTCCTCTCAAATTAAGGTCCAAAATCTATGATATTTTACAAACTGATCAGTGAATGAATTTTCCAGTGACTTTTCTCCCTTTCACCAGGAACTGTCTGATAAACACTCAAGTAAATCCTGTGAGCATTTGCTAATTAACTGTTTAATATAGTTATACAAGATTAATACAGTACGCTGATTTGCTGAAATGTTTGCCTTATAAAAAGTATCTGTGTGGTATTAAAAGACTGTATACCTTAACCTGTGGAAATGAGCAGGTGTGAACAAGAAACTGCACAAAGTTGCAAATGTGAGATCTACTCAGCATTCCCAGTCTACTTAAGCACCCTTAGTCTGGCACTAACTGCTACACTCAGCATTTATAAACAGTATACAAGATCCCTGCATATAATATCTGTGTACCAATAGCAAATAGTTGCATAAGGATGCCAATTTAAAGTTAAAAGTTTAGGACTAGGTATGTAAATCAAGAAGCTTGATAGGAAACAAAAAATGCTAACCAAACTTCTCATTTTCCTTCACATCCATTTTGGCCCATCTGGAGATTCTGAGATTCTTGGGGAAAAGTAAAATTAGCTGGAAAAGCTCATCTGTTTAAATGGCATTACAGCTACATATACATTCTGTTATTCAAAGTATTTTTTTATTGAATGTGAAAGCATACCTGCAAACATCATGTTATATTAAACTTTCAGAGCAGTTAAGATTAGAAAAATGAAGCGTCTGTGTATGAAAAACACGAACATTTGAGACTCTTTCCTTATTAACTGATTTAATTAGGACATCTGATTTCAGTATCATTTTATTATTACTACTCATTTAGTTCAAAAGAAGAAGCATTAAAAAGCTGAATGGCAAGTACAAAGTAAAAACCTTTTGTATGGGCTTTGTTTGCAAGTCTCCATTCTCTGACAAACCAATGTCCAATATTCCATCATCCCGTTGACCAATGGCCTTGAGCCCTTGTAGAAGTATTTCTCGGAAATGCTGATAAAAAGGTTTATCTTCATAGCTCAATAACTTCACCTTTTCCATGTATTTGGCTATTTCATCTGGGAAAACAGTACCTACAATTAATGTCTATTAAAAGCAGTTTAATCACTAGGTTTTACCTTAAAAAGTCAGAAAACTATGAGAACCCATTTACAGTTCTTTGAGATGGATATTAAAACATACTTAATTATGGCTATTTAGTACAACATATTTTAAAGGAAAAATAGCCATTCTCAGTGCTATTTAACAAATGGTCACAGCACCACTTTCTCTTCTACATTCGTCACCAGGAATGAAATATTCAGTTTTTAAAAACTACTTTAATAGGCTTATCTCCTCCACGGTGAGACTTTCATTCAACTGTATTTCTTCTTCCCTGAATTTAAGGGCACCTACTACAGATGACTGGAAGTCTGAACATAGCTTTTTTTTTTTTTTTTAATAAAAAAAGGAGAAAGTTTCATATTTTTCCCCCCAAATGAAAGACAGGAGTGTCATTGCCAAAAAACCTTTAAAATTATACTTGACAAAGTACTAGTAAACTGGAAAATCCTGTATTAACAATTAGGACTGGGTGACAGAATTCTTCCATTTCTAATCTCTGAGAAAAAAGTATTAAGGTTACTGTCAAGGCTTTAAAAAAACTGCTAACCAGCTCACCAGGGCAAGCTGCAAGCTCTCTCACAAGAGACCTAAGAAATTATTTAGAAATTAAGTTTTTCTTAAAAAAAATAAATAAATCTAGGTCTTTCAGCTGTAAAGAAAGTTTCTAAACATAATGGAATATAAGCCAATGTGAAGCTCTCTTCTAAGCTACAGACAACATTAATGACACTGCTGCTCCCCACAGCTTTGTCAAAATATAGCAGAGAGGGGGAAAATAAAATAGACTTACCTATTCAACGAATGTTGATTATTGCTATTCAAACCCTGGTGATCTGAGAAACAGGTCTTGTGGACAGAACACATTGGTACAACCTTCCACCCAACCCCTTTCCTAACGTGATTTTAATCTGCTTATATTAAATCCAACACAAAAGAAATTTCTACAAACAGCCAAATATTTAACAAAAAAGTTTGTCAGACAAAAATTGGAATTTCAGACATGCTGCAAATGCACTCCTGGGGTTACCTAAATAATCTTTCCAAAACACATTAATGTTATCTGCAGCATTATAGTGGTCAGTTAGTCTTTTAAAAAAAAGAAAAGTACACTGAAATTAAATATTAACAATGCATCTTGTCAAAAAAAAAAAAGCCAAAAGCCCCTAAGTATTAAAGACAATTTGTCTAAATATAATAAAACTGCAAGTACTGATATTTTATATAGTTCTTCCTACCTGGCTTATTTTCCCCAAGAAAGCACTTTTCCATCAAGTCCGCAATATTCTCTCTGTATCTGAGAAACAAGCGTAGAAAAATCAATGAGACAGACTGCAATAATTTATATTTAATAACAATACCTAAATAATATATTCATTCACATCAGATTCAAGTTAAAGTAAGGTAGCACAGAACAAAAATGGTTTCTCAAGTAAGTTATTTGTGTTAATGTATAAAAACAATTCTTTGAAGAGTATATAAAACTGTTTGGTAAAGGTCTTTTGTCCTCATTCTGTTCACCTTTTACACTGTTGTCTAGCTCAAGAGATTGGAAAACCAAAAAGCTTTGTTGTTTCCATTTTACAATTGGATCTCTCCATGCCAAAATTATGCTTCAGTTGTTCTTTCTGAGGAAAGAGGGCACTTATCCATTTTGTAAAGTCCTTTGATCTTTTATTCCTAAGACCTTATTAAAAGTGCTTTAATTCTGCACCATTGTGTGATACAACTGAGAAGAGCATGCGATTACAAGACAATGCCCCTCTAACAAACCTAGCTGAAGGAAACAATTTCAGTTCTCTGCTGTCCCTGAGCAACTGCAGTGTGTATATATGGCACAGTGCCCTGCTAGCTCTGTGCACACTAGCTACCCAACCAAAAGCAGTTTAAAAGTTCTATTGTGATGACAAATGCAAATCAATTAAGAAAAATGTGTAGAAGCTACCAGACACAGCTAATGCAGTGCATTTCAGTCCTAAGCTGACTTGTTTCAGGGGAAGCAGCTTGAGATCTAACAGGAAAGAAAGCCTAGTGAAAAACAGAAATTCTGGGTAACTTTTAAAATATGTATCTTCTTCTGCAAGTTTTACCTTGAGAGGCTTTAAAGATGAAACTCTCAGGAGATAAATTAGTTTTGAACCGAGTTCCAAAAAACACTCTAAGCTGTCTTGCTTTGAAAGGGAATGATAGTATTGGTTGGAAGTTTGTACGTTAATATTTGCTGCTTGAGCAACTATTTTTAGTCAGATATTTAAATTGGACTGTTTTTATTGACTTTCTGAATTTTGGTGACAGATGTCTCTAACACATTTTTCCCACATAATGCTAGGCCAGCTTCAATGAAAGTGGTCTCATGTCCAAACTTTTGGAATTGTTTGGCAAAGTCTCTGTGGTATGTAAACCACAAGTATTTTTAAGATGATCGGGTTAAAACATTTTTTCAGAATTGATGTTAGTTACAGTAATCTAATTCAAGTGTGACTGGAACAGGCTCATGACGCAGGGTAAACCTCACCCCGATCTGGAAGATCACTGTGCAGCACTGCATGTGTGAAGATCACTGACTACCAAAACTTCCCTCTAGTTTGTTGACCCTAAGAGGCAAGACTGATATTCCAGAGTTCCAGGAGTATCATTTTTGGACAGAGGAAATCCAGCCTTTGGCCACATGCAGGTGTTAAGTTTCTACTGGGAGAAGAATCACTGCTCTCCTGGTAGAAACAATGACCATCCAGATATTGACTCATTTTCTCCCAGAATGAAAATGGAGGTTTCATAAGATCAACTCATCTCCAACTGACAGAAGTCACTTCTGGGAGATTATCTCCTGGCGGAACACACACCTGTACTCAAGAGAGAAGCTGCAGTGCTGTCTTGCAGCGTTTCAGAACGTCTTGTTCTCCCACCCCTCCCCAACCCCCCCGACAGCTCCAGGGAGACAGTTTGTGACTCGGGCTGCACTCTACTGCAGCAGCCAAGCATGGTACAACCACTAGTCCTGACAGCTTTAAGGCCGTGAACGCCCAGCCCCTCTCTACAGCCCCATGCTGTACTTCAGGGTTGTGGAGACAGACAGTTCCACGGCAGCCATGGGCCCTGCCATTCTAACCAGGCAGGGGAACTCAACAAGACCAGACCCTGGCAGAACCTGTCCTGACCTGAACAAACCCAACCACACCTGACAAACCCAGACCCAACTCCAACCTGCCAGCACCTGGATGTGAACAGACGTGCCCAACCACAACCCAGCACCATGATTCCATCAGGGTAGTCTCAGATGGTAATATTGGTGAGAGGAAGGAAAACAGAAACTGAGGCACACCTCATTCCCCACCATATTCCCACAGGGCTGGATGCTTCCCTGCATGCCAGGTGGGAGACAGCTGGGAGCTCCCTCATCCCGAGTCCTTCACATTGGTCACAGAAACCAGTGTTGGTAAGAGACAAGGAAACGGGAAAACTGAGGCACACCTCATTCCTTGGCATACTTCCATAGGGCCAGGGCCTGCCCAATGTCCTGGCATGCGAGGAGATATTCTGCCAGGAGCATGTTTGACATGCATTGGAACTGGGTCAATCCACTGGTGCCAGAGGGGTAGGAATCCACTGCAGGCTGCTGGAGGGTAAATTGACAGGTTTGCTAATGAAAAGACAGAAGACACCCTCTAGGTTTCCAGCTGGGAGGAAGGGACAGAGAGGGAAGGGTGCTGTGAAAAGGAGTTCTCCAGGGGGTGTGGTCTCCTAAGCTGGCCAGCCAAACAGCTCTGATCTATATGCCTGGACTGCTCTCACCATTCTCCATCAGCCAGGAGAGCCTGAAAAGCATGCTGGGATGTGTACACTGTGGTTCCCTGGCTGTGTGCTCTTGGCAGCACATGTTATGTGTGTGGGACCTGCCCAGCCCCTGAAATGTCTGCAGAGTCCATTCTTTACTAAGGAAAAAAAAATGTGCAAGAAGTCTCATGGTGGCTCTCAGTCCCTGTATGTGGCCTTTGACAAACCAGACTGTTCCTGCACTGTAAAAGAGGCCCACTAATAAGAAGCACTTTAGAAGAGCAGCTCAAGCTGCTTGAGACAATCCCAGCTCTTAGACTGTGGTACTTTAAGTGTTTACAAAATTCTTAGTCATTTAAATAAAAACAGAAAACAAAAAGCGATTATCTGAGAAATATCCCATTCTGTTTAGACTCTTTAATTTAAGGTGTGAAATTATTTAGCACTCTTGCACACCAGCATACACCCAAAAGTCTGCATGATAAAGTAACAGAAAAAAACCCCCCCAGGATGAAATAGTCTCTTTCAAATATATTTATTCATGCAAGTTCTGTTAAAAGTCTCAAGAAACCAGAAATTGTGAAATTAGAAATTAAACAAGCTCAATCTACCACTTATCCAAAATCTTCTTTTAAAGTCTAAATTTAAAATATTACTATGAGGGGAAGAGAAGACTAACACTACATAAGAACTGAATTCTAAGAGGGATGCTTAACTGGCTCTGAAGTTATGGTTCAGCTATTCAAGAATCTGGTTACAGTACCAAGATTTTAACCAGTTTTAAAATCAAAGATATAATTTACTCTGGTAAATTACTCTGCTGGGAGTTATAAACAGAGACACCTTAAAATCCTCATCAGAACTTAAAGATGGATTAATTCTAGAAACGATTTGAGGTCTAACTCATTTTAAGATTTAGTTCCAAGATCAAACTGTTGATACTAATTCATTGATTTGACTTTGATTTGGTCTTTTTTTTATTCTTAGTTTAGTTTAATATTAGCAACAATTCTGAAGCTTTGTTAATTTTATAAAACGCATTTTAAAACATTTTAAGCATAAAAATATTCTAGGCATTTCTCTGTCAATAAGCAATACAAGTCCAGAATCTTTGAGGATCTTTAGATTTCTCTCAAGTAATTTTTGTTTCTCACAACTGAATTTAGGTAAACTATTAAAGATCAAAAGATGTTCCATCTTAAACTCCCCACAGCAGTTCCCCACTTCCCATCTGTTCAAGTCCAATCTCTGTTATAGCTGATGATGTACGGTAGGGCTCTTACCCCTTACATACGGCAACTCTCACCATATCTGTAATTAGAAGACAGAAGCTGCTTGCTCTGAGAAAGGTGCAACAAGCAGTGTTAGAAAAGGGCGAGAAGCTGATCTAAATGAGTGCTGGTGAGACGACAAAGCCTATTTGGTGGGACCTGGCAGAACTCTCGTTCTCTTACGGTCAATAATTCTTTCAAGCAAGAGAGAGGTATGGACATTCTGGAATCCCTATGCCAAAAAGTTAAAGATTAAATACAATATACTATACCCAGCCCTTCACAGCAAAGGAAGCTGTATAAAAGTACAAAATATTGCTAGTGCCTTTTCACTGCAAATGAAAAAGAAAATATATTCCTTACCTGATTTTTGAATCTCTGACATAGTTGGGGTCTTTCAAATTGTCCTCCCATGGTAGATGGCCACTGAGCCAATGAATCATACAGTAGCCTAGAATTTCCAAGTCACCACGTCTTGATGGAGCTACAAACACAAGAGTCTGAACAACAACGATGCATGCAAACAAACACTTAATTGTTTAAATATGTTAAGACAATTGGAAATCAATTCAAAATGACTACATCCTTTGCGAGAAGTAGAGAAGGAAAAAATATTGTTCTAACATTTGGAAGTTCACTTCATTTCAAACTCCTTTATCAATCACTTTCTCCACTCAAGGATATGTCATGCAGCAGTTATACCAATTTGTGAAGCATTTTAAATCCTCCGATTGTGACAAAAATAGAGCGAGTTAGTGAACTGATTGACTTTGCTATTCAAAACATTACTATTTCATGAGGAAAAGGAAGGCAAAAATAATTTTGAAATCTGGGTTCCTGAAACTATCTTAGAATACGGAAACTTTTCAGATTTCCTTAACAAAGCACATTGCTGCTTTTGAAAGATTCTAAAAGCAGATGCGTTACATCCTTAATCATCTTTAAAATATAATGTTGTGTGTTCCTTAAAGCAATGATTACAATTATATTAAATGGACGAACTGCCAAATCATCTATTGAAGGCCTAGTCAATTTGTAGCCCAAATGAAACAATTAACACTGCAGCATATTTTACTGTTTAAATTAAAAACTTTAGCAAGACAAAAAAAGAGCAACACAGCTGATCTGGTAAGGTCTCTATAAAAAGTCATACTGCTAACCATTTGTGGCTCTGTTATTTTAATATTTAATATTTTCAATGGCCAAAGTTTAGACTTGTAGGATAGTTGTTTAGTTCTAACACAACTGAAGGTCAACTTCCATATGTGCTAAAATAAATCATGATCAGTCAGCCCACAGCCAAATATGGGGAAGTATGCTTCATAATTATTGTGGAAACAATTTATTGCCCCCCAGAAACAATTATATATTTTTCTAATGAGAACACCCCAGAACCTTAAGATACTAGATAACTTTATGCAAAGGTCAAATGTCTAGGAAATACTTTGCATTTTTCCCCAAAGGCTATCACAAAGTAACAGCAAAAACAAACAAACAAAAAAAGAAAAAGAGTAACCTGCTGAAATTGTTTCACAGCAAATTCTACTGAGATGAGAAAGATGAGCTTTTGCTATACAACTAAATATTTAGTCTTCTATTTACAATGTTTAGACACCCTATTATAAATTTGCCCAGCCTAAACATGTAACTACTTAAAATGTCCTTCATGTCATACTGTCTTTATTGTAAAGTGAATAAAGTTTTGATTACTTACCCACACCCTTATGTGCATCAATACTAGTATATTCAATAGTCCCATCATGACATCTTTTTGGGTCTTCTTTATATTCTTTGTGAACTCCTTCTGGACAGTATCGATATGCAAGGCCATAATCAACCAAGTACACCTATTAATTCCCACATATCATCCAAAGATTAAAGTATTATACATACAGAATTATGTCAAACAATTATGCATACCTTGATAGCTACAAGTACTTGCCGGTTATCTAAGGTAAACAAATAGAAGGGTATAACCAGTTTTAGAAATCAGTTTTTTGGTTGCTCTAGGATAGTAATTCTCAACCAGAGTGCCATGGCACCCTGGGATGCCTTAAGATCCTTTCACGGGTGCTGTGGGGTACGATGCAATGTTGTTAGCAGTGTTAGTTGTGCAAACATGATTCACAAGATAAACCCAGAGATTTCAAATAGGAATCCAGAGCATTAAAACCATTCTGACCTATTGTGATCTAGGTTTTTTGCAACAGAAAAATTGTTCCACTATTATTCCATATTCAAAAAATGACTGAAAGCTAAGAGTCTGCATTTTCCAAAGGGTGTTTTGAGTCTAACAAGGGGTTCCTTGTGTCTAAAAAGACTAAGAATCATTGATCTAGCAACAGATAAAGGTTCAATATTCAGGTATTCCCCTGTAGTGGACTGCATGTGGTAGAAGGGGCTCAGTCTTGGCAGCTGACTTGAAAAATACCAGTTACCTTTCTGATTTTTTTTTGATTATTCATACTGATCAGATTCATTATAGTTTTACACAAAGTAAAATCAGGAGCAAAAACAGTAATTCCAAGCATGAATCTTCTCTAGCCCTGGCTACTCCTAAGCACAATGACATTAGTTTATTCACTTTGTGAGGTAAAGCATTTAGACAAGAAAACACAGGCAGTTATGAAATTCAAACATGCATTTTTCCAAACACTAAAGGGTGTAAAATTTAGAAAACTAAAGATATTTCTGTAAACCAATTGATTTGAATAATCAACATGTTAAAAGACCAAATTTTCCAAGTAACAGAACACTTATTTGATGGATTCCTTGAACAAAGGAAATAAAAAAGTGACAAAGCAGACAGGCAAACATAATTCACTGGTGTACTATATAATTTTAAGCTTCCACCCCCAAATAGCTATTTGAAATTCACTTTGTATCACAAGCACTCCTCCTGAATATTATTTAGGGCAAAACAGCCAACTTGATAAACTGCCAGCAAATTGCATCAAAAATGTAGAATATTAACTAGATATAAATGCCAAGCAGAAATAATATTACTGTATATGTTCTTAAAAAGTAAAGATTTCTGCTAGGTTTCCCAGGTTCAAAGCCTCTTTATATGTTGTCAAACAATAGGTTTAAAACAGGAGAAATGACACACATCAGAAATACCTGATTTGGATTCTTGTAATTCAGGAGAATATTTGAGGCCTTGATGTCTCCATGCACATATTCATATTCATGGATATATTCCAGAATATCAAGCTAACAAAACAAGATACATTACAATGTCAATGCAATACCCAACTCCATCCAGCAGAGGACCTCTATTCAGCACAAAATGTCTTAAAAAAAGACTAAATTAGAAAGATGGATTTCTTACTTACTATTCTTAAGCCAAACTGTAACACAGTTTTATGTGCAAAACGCTTTGAATTTTCTTCATATATTTTCTGCAGATCTCTCCCAAATCGGTCCATTACCATAAACCTATAGCTGTTTGAAAGCAGGAAAAGAAGTTACTAAAACTTGTAGAGGAACTCTCTCACGTTTTACAACCTATTCTTGAAGTAATTCTTGAATTGAAGTGTATACTTTTAATTAAAGCAAACATAATCTATGCAGCTGACAAATATTTAGGAATATTTTATTGTTTCTGTACTGTTTTTGAACTGTGACATTGTTTTGTTTAACTATATCACCTAGAAAAAAGGTCCTCTGTGAAAGTTATGTTCCCAATAACCTAGCATTTTTACAGAATAACAGAAAATGACCATCTGCAGAACAGATTTTATTCAAAAACTAGGAAAAAAAATGGTTGTCTGTAGAACCCAATAATTTCTTCCTGTAAGTGACTCATTTCATTTAAGTGGTTGTTACTTTTACAAGTTGGTTGCTTTTAAAACAATGCTACTAAGATTTAAATGAACACTTGACCTAGTACAGTGAATCTCACCTGATAAAGATGGCTTGACATTCATCTTTGTTTGACAAAGTGGATTCACTTTAGTACCAAAGCTTTTTCCTACAAAAGCCCTGCACACTGAATGTGGATATACTGAAAAAGCTCATTTGGGTTGAAACATTTACCTTTGTTATATTACATTTACTCATTTACTTTTGCCTCTCATGGTTAATCAGAATTGAACTCACTGTTACATTAAATTACTGGGTGATTTAAGGCCCTAGCTGTTTCAACTGCCCTGTGAACTGACCTATCTTGGGAAATTCTGTGGGTAAAAACCAGGATTTCTCCTGAGATAAAGTCTTTTATTTCGGGATCCTACAGACATACAAGCTTGTTGTTCCACTTCAAGTATCTGTGAAGTATCCAAGATTTTTCCTGTGATAATACACTTAGTCCTGTGATAATATGGGCTAATTCAAATTAATTGCCATTCAAGCTGCATGTGTAGAGGGCTATACTGCTTCCAAGTGAACTTGGATCAATCAGAACCAACTCAAATGAGATGTCTGTTTCTACCCTAAATGATGGTGCAACAAGACTTCTGGTGCCAAAAGCTTGTTAAATGCCAAAGTTTCTTATCCCTGTTCTCTCTTGCTCCACTGTTTTCTTTGCTGAAGAGATAGGGCATATAAAAGTAATCAGCATCATTCAGCAAAAGACTTCATCCTCTATTGTAATTCCAAAGGTTCCTAGAAGATTTTTTTGTGTATTCTGTGCATGATTGATCACAATTTGCTGGTGGGGTTGAATAAAGCAAAGCCCCTTGTTCCTTCATGAATGCAATGGATAAAGAAGTAGAAATATGTTTAGTAGTAGTTGTTACTTAATAGTCCTCTCTGTTCTTTCTATTTAATAAAGGATGTCTGTTCTGTAATTAAGCCTGGACAGCACTGGTCATATAAACCCTTGTAGGACACTATCCTTTTCTAATCCCAATGCAGGGAAGGATGGTCAGGGAAATGTAGCAATTGCTTAATGCACATAAGCAATTAGTACATCTTTAGGTGAATTAATCCACTGATCATAATGAACAGCATACAAACGTGCCCCAAAATTTTAAGACAAGGATCAGGCTGTCTAATTTAGCCCAAAGATTAAATCAAGAGATGCTCTACCCCGTAAGTAAACCATATTTTCTGTAGATTAAAGCATGCTAAACAGTAAACCACTTTCTTTATATATGTAGATTAAAATATTAGAATTGTCCCTAGAGACAAAATCTCTTACCTGTTTCCATTCTTTTGATGCAACCCAGACCCCCAATACCTTGGTACGCCTAGATATTTCAGTTTATGGGATTTAGTCCATTTCTGAACTAAAAATACAAATAAAGACATGCACATTAAAATTTCCTAATGAAGTCTTCTGCAAAATGCTACCTAAATCATTTTGTTTTGGTATCCACATAAGATGTGATCATCGTGTGACAATGAGCGAACCATGTATATTAGTAGGGAGCCAAATAATTGTCTACCTCTGGCTAATTCTGGTAATTCAGCTGTAACAGGGACACACTGATGATCACACAGGCAGCTGTAAAGTGCCTCTTTTCAGTTTCAATACAACTAATACCACTGATGGCAACATGCCCAAAATGTAACTGTAAGACAACATTTATCACAACAAATTCACATTTTCCAAAATTATTAAATGATGTCAAATAAATTCTTCTTTTAAGACAAATAAGTGAATCTTATTAAATCTTCTTTTGGTTTTAAACACTAAATCCTGTTTGTTCTTTTGATATTATAAGGCTGAGGCCTTCTAAGATGAAAAAATTACAAGACCATGGGTTTTAGTTCAGTAACTCCTGCTTATTAACAATTATCTTCAGTAATTACCCATTTAGAAAAAGAAACATCCATTTATGATTAAAAGCATTCTTAAGAAATGTAAATGAATACCAGTAGTTCATTTTAAAAAATGGATCTAAAGAGACTTTCTTGATGAGCTAGATAACCCATTTAATGTTAAAGAGTACCACTTAGCTTTTATTTTATTAAAAACCTCGAGAGAATTTATTATTTATAGGAAAATGTGGGCTTAAAGTTCAATCAAAATGTCTAATTGACTGCTTACTTTGCTCTGGTTTGGCAGCTCGCATGTAGAACTTTAATTCAGAAAAAAGAGGTCCATTCTGGCTGGGTTCCTTTAAAATAAATTTTAGTTAGAGTTGGTTAAAGTTTTAGCTAACGAAATCAATTACTTTAAAAATCTTGACGTGTTGCCCTAAGATTATTCTTCTTCCCTGCTTTGGATATTGATAATTTTTCAAGAATCTGGTCTCTGAATAAATAAACATGACAACAGAAGAAGTGGCTAGAAAGTTAAAAATATCAAAGTACTTTTCTCCACAATGAAAAGTTAAAGAGTACCAAATTAACTGAAAAATCTTCAGAAATATTATTAAATGTTCACAGCAGCAGCTCTACAAACAGTATTAAGTATACTTTCACTATCTTCACTTTCTCCAACTGAGGCTATTGTATTCTGAACCCAACAACATTGCAGTCATCCTCACAATGGTCTCAACACTTGAAATAATTTGAAAGAAGAGCATGTACCAAGTGATCCTTAAATACTCTCTTGCAATAAACCCTCTCTTAGAAATCCTGTTTATAGAAGAATGTCTTTTTAAGCAAAACATGTATGTTCTTACTTGTGAGTTAAGATGTGGTAGCCAATACACAACAAAGTCCTAGGGAAAAGCAAGGTAGTTTGTAGCTTTCATGTTAGCCAATCAACATCAACACTAAGGAGGAGCCTATGACCTAACTCAGCCTACTAACTCTAACCTATGGGGTGTTTTGTCTTCAGTAAGATTCTAACCTGAATTAGTTGGAGCATATTAGCTTAACTCTGCCCTATAGTGGCACCTTTCATCAATAGTATATCTATGACTAAAACATTTGCTGCCTGAGGGATGAGTTTAAACTGATACTTAGAAGAATGCTTCCACACAACCAGCCAAGGTATAGTGTGACTACAGGCATCAATTATAGCCAAGTAGAAGCCTCAAATGAAGATTTCCATACCATGACATGCTTGGACTTCTTTTAAGTGTAACCCTACCTCTAAATTTCCCAACTTAAAAATGCTGAATTTAGAGATAAATTACAGCTTCCTTAATTTTAACTCTTGAATTACTGATACATATCCAACCTTAGCTCCATTTCAATTGAAATCTTTGTCTTAGAACTTCCTTAGCTCATAAAAATTAAAACATTTCAAACAAAAAAAGTGTTGTATGAAACATTTCATAAATACTTCTAAAACTACCATGTGACATTATTAACGACCTGAACATGCATAGTTCAAATCTTAAAAACTGTAATTAGTATTATTTAAGTGCAAATTCAGTGGTATAGATGAGAAGTGTTAACAGCCAGACTGCACCAGTCATTGAATCTGGGTTTCCAGCTGCCTTGCATCACCAGTTAAGCACAAGGAAGATAAAGTACACTGGTGAATCTGCCCTTGATCCAATTAGGGATTCCTTAGCTTAATGACTCCCTGCAAAAGCAGAGGACTGGATTCAATGACCCAAAAGGCCCTTTCTGGTCTTATTTTCCTAACTTATTATTTTTATATAAAGGTATCTCCAGGAGACAGGTATTATGCGTAAGGCAGGGCAGGAGAATTCCATTCACCAAATCCTGATACCACTGAACTTTTAGGACTCTTCTTTGACTTGTTTCTATTCTTCCTGCACTGCTGCCAAGACTACATTCAGTAGATGTCTATAATCACTAAGGCCGCAGAGCCAATGTAGGCAGCCTTTCAGCACTGCCTATGCCAATGGTTCTCAACCAGGGTGCCATGACACCCTAGGGTGCCACAAGATCCTTTGAAGAGTGCAGCAAAGCACCGGCACTGGCAGGTGTGCAAACTAGTACCTATTATTCACAAGATAAACTCAGAAGAGCAATGACAGTTGGGCTACATTATCTACCAATTAAAATACTGGCACATGTCCAGTTTTCTTAATCACACAGATAGATCAATAATAAGATTAATCGATAATTTAACTTAGTTACAAAATAATATCTTCAAATATGGTCTATGCACAAACAATTATAAAAAAGAACTGGAGTGTTTTTCTACTACTACATAAATTCCAAACAAAAAAAGGCTAGTGTCAAATTTCTTAAAGAAATTTTCATAAATTATTTTTATCAGACTAACAGATTCACTTCTAAATGCTCAGAAAAATAATTCTATAGGCAGAGCAAGTGCTGTAATTTGGCAGGCATACACAATATTTTTCATACATAACAGAGGTTAAAGTCCTGTTTTAGCTGTAAAGCAGAATTCAGCCTTAATTATGAAACTGAAGTTAGCACCCCCATAATAAACATAATTCTAAATACAGATAAATGCACATGCTATGCTGCAATGATTAAGATATGAGGTTCAATACCACGGTAACAAACACCTAAAAAAAAAGACTTGGACTAGCAAGTATATGTTCAGTTTAAAAAACTGACTAAAATTTGACTAGAAAATTCAATAATCCTTTCTATTATGGCGTAATGTCAAAACACATGAACTATTTTTTTCTCTCTAGAGAAAATTTTAAGAATTAATGAAATAATGCTATCTGAAAAACATCAAAAATACTATTAAACTTTATCTCTCCTTTTTCAAAGTGACATCAGGAATTCCATATTAAAAATATTTCTTCATTAGTAAGACTGCAAAATAAAATATTCAAATACTCCTACAGTAAAAGCCCTGTTTATCCAGCATTCTACTAGCCGGAATACTCTATTAACCAGAATTTCTGGCCGGCTGGATGGACACAGAGGGATTGGGGGGGAAAGCTCGCATGCAGCGGCAGCTACCACCACACTTTGCTGCTGCTGCTCCACATCCGGCCAAAACATCAACTCTGCACTGCCACGGTTCCACCTCTGGCCGCTGCCACACCCTCCCCCCTGCCTGGCCAAAAACCACCGGCATCAGGTAACCAGAATTTTTAGATACCCGGCATCCCCCATTCCCCACTCATGCCAGATAACAGGGCTTTTACTGTATTTAGACATCAATATCATAAGAACTAGATGTCAGATACTACACCAATTTCTATCCTGCTTTAATAACTTACCAATTTTAAGAAATACTGTATGAAAACAATTTTCTTCTGAACACTAACAAACCTTAGTTTACTAATCAAATATTGGTGACTTGACTCCCAAGACATCAGAAACAAGGCTTTTACCAAGAATTGCTACCAAACAGCATATGAAGACAGAAAAAAGGTCTGGTATTTGTGTAGGCAGGCCCAATGCAAAGATGGTAGTACATATTTCCCAATGACCCAAACACAGGTAGAAAAAAAAACTAGGAATGAAAGCAAGTAACCATCAGGAAGCTCAGCAACAGGGGTACTGCAAATTGTGACATAAAGAGGATTGCAATATTAAAGTGAAATAGAAAGGGCTTGAAGGAGCTCAGGAGGTTGTGTTTACTAGATTCCCTGTTCAAGGCAGAGGACTATCCCTGTCTAAACTCTCTCAGTACTATATAAAAATACTGAAATGCTATTCCAATTCATTATATCAAATGTACAGTCAAACTGTTTTACATGTACATGCTGACACTAGTCTCAGTTCTTCTGTGCTGAGTTCCAACTTGGCACATACTAGGAGCCCAGAATCAAGTCAGTTACAGCTTTGTGATTCTTTATCATTTTAGATAATTGTGGCAGAAAAGTTCTTCCATGCCTGTACCTTTTCTCATTCCATGATCCTTACAACTGATGGGGTAACTAACATCAGTGATACAGTACACAGAAATACTCCAGTAGAAACTGACAAAGAAAATGTATCCATTTTGGAGTACTCAAGTAGATTGTTCTGAATAATCTGGGATACTGTACCAACTACCAACCAATCCATCACTAACAGCTCCTAACCCAAGGGTGGCCACCTGGGGCACACATGCCACAAGTGGCACAGGCAGCCTCTGTGTGGCGCACAGAAGATGAGAGCGAGATATAAGCAGCACAGTAGCAGGCGGGGCAGGAAGCAAGAACAAGAGCAGGAGTTTGGGCAGGAAGCACAGGGCAAAGAAGAGAAAGAAAAGCAAGAGATCGGACAGAGGAAAGGGATCAGAGTGGCACTCCAGAAGGGTACGGGACTAATTTATGGTACACCTGCCAAAAAATGTTGGCCACCACTGTCCTAAATTATCTCCCTTCATACAGTCTCAGGTCTCAGATTAGTGTGTGTCCACCTGGATGTCTTGCCATAAGTTAACACAGTCAAAACTGAATTGTGGACCACCCATCCCCTGTATTCTCTGTTACTATTAATATCATCATTCTGTGTCATTTGAGTCTTATGTTACAGGTAGTCTTTAACGACTCATTTTTTGCCTGTCATATTGCCCTGCCTTTCTCCATAATATTTGGTGTTCCTTCTTTTCTAAAAGAAATCCAAAACTTGTCCAGGATTTCACTCTCCTGTGTACTGAAAGGAATCTATCCTTCTGTTACCTAAAGTATGACTGACTGTCTTTCTTCCATCCTTTGCAAGTTATTTGAACTTTCAAATGGTATATCCCTGTGTTTGTAAAGCAATCTATATATAGCACCACAAAGTCCTGATCCCACACTGGGGCTTCTGGGCATCTGCACATTTCTTGTATAGAAGTCACACACACACACAAAATGATGTAGTATATAACTATTATAACAATATATAGCAGCTTACAGCATGTCACACATTACATATGCTATACCAAAACAGCCATTTTAAAATTTTGAAATAAAGATTCAAGTTTTCTCTTACCACTTTTACAACATAAGATGCATCACTGCCAACCGATTTTGAAGAATTAACATCAGCTGTTAAAATATGAAGTGTTCATCAGTAGGATGAGAGACAACCATCAAAAACAAAGCTTCTACTTGCTATGTCATTTGTTTAGCTATGCCACAAAGTAATTATACATTAGCATGAATAATTTTCAGAATCTAGGCAGAAGAACTGTATCAAATTTAACCAACTTAAATTTCTGGTTGTGAGTTCTCTCTTGCCAGGGCGGGAGGGAGAAGCTTATTACAAAATGATAATGGAATGTTCTTGATTATTAAATAGTAGTTACTCATTTAAAGACAGATAGAAAAACACAATATGGGTATACAACTTGCAAGAAGCCATCAAGTACTTCTTTTGTCTAGATGCCATAATAACCAAAAACAGTCTTTTTCCTCTCTTCCAGCTATTTGCTCTCCCAGCTGCCACTTTATAATTTCCATAGAAGTAGATTTACTGAGTGATGGAATACCACAATGGACAGTTTAGGAATAACAGATACATAAGGACGCGCTTCTGTACAAGTAGAGAACGAGATTAAACAATGTCTGAAACATGACATGGTTGGGCTTACATAAAAAAGCAACTAATAATGTGGGTAACTGTCTAACACAAGGAGAATGCCACCTTTAATAAGCATTAGGAGCTTAGTCAAAACCATGCAGCAAAGCCAGGCTTCTCTAGCCACGATTAAATTTGCCAGTTCTCTTGACCAAGTGTTTTCAGAAGAACGCTGTCACCTTATATTGGTGCCTGATCATTTTACTAGCATCTTAGATCAATAAATGATTTTGTAACCCATGAACTACTATATGAAACTACAGAATTCAGTGCAATTGTATCACAAGTGGAAGGGAAACATCTTATCACATATCTACTGCACCACATAGTACAAGAGCCTTATTACTATCTTCATCTTAAAATTTTAACCATTCAACGTTCATTGGAAGAACAGAATCATAACATGGTGCCCTCAG